GGTCCATACCATGTCAAGGCTAAGGTTCAATTCTCCAAACCATGTCAAGTCAGCTAAGGTCCGGTCAATGTGGCAAGCCCACTTGATCCACGGCCAACACATCTATTGAGAAAAGGTACGGTATGAAAGTCTTCAATCCTTTCTCTCTAGAGGATACATACATTAAGGTTCAATTACAAAGCCCAAGGCTAAGGTTCAATCCTTTCTCTCTAGGGGATACACACATTTAATTACAAAGCCCAATGCTAAGGTTCAATTCTCCAAACCATGTCAAGTCAGCTAAGGTCCGGTCAATGTGGCAAGCCCACTTGATCCACGACCAACACATCTATTGAGAAAAGGTATGAAAGTCTTCAATCCTTTCTCTCTAGGGGATACACACATTAAGCCTCAAGCAATTAATACTCTTGCATAGCTTTCTCTCTCTAAACATTGTACTGACTTCGGTATTGGAGGAGTCTTTCCTCGGCACACCCTCGAGGCCAGTTCACGTGTGTTTGCTGTGCAGGAAACCCTCGGCCCAGGCATCACTTGGACCGAGATCAGTCTTCGGCCCATAGAAAAGGACCTTGCCGAAGGTCCCATTATTTTTATCTAAAACATAAATTATTTGAAATAAAAATAACTAATCATATTTGTACAATTTCGAAAATGAATTGAAATAATAGGTGACATACTGACATTGTCGAGTACTGTAAAATAACTCCCTTTATATATATATATATAAAAAGGGAGTTAACACGGCCAAACTACTTTATATATATATATATATATATATATATATATATATATATATATATATATATAAAGTAGTTTGGCCGTGTTAACTCCCTCCCTTTTTATTTTTTTTTAAAGTGTTATACTAACTAAATGTGGCCATTTTTTTAGATACTATACTATCTTCTGGGCAAACTACTCCATTCTAAATTTACATTTGTGCTTCATTTTATTTCTTTCCCTCTCATATCCCTTACTTTTCAATAAAATATTAATCTCACTATTATTTCTTAAATACATTATCTATCCTCACTTAAATCCCTTTACATCACAATCAATTAAATTACTTAAAACTATGTGTCAGCCGAAGTGGAACATTTAAAAAAAAAAAAAAGGAAGTAATTCAACGTATTTTACTTTAGTGTCAGGTTCATTTGGGTATGGATTTACTCCCTCTGTACCTAAATAAGCGTATCAATTTTACTTTTGAACTGTCGTACATATTAACTTTGACTTGATTTTATACTATTATATAAGGAAAAATGTAATTATGTGAAAGCTTTGTTAGATTAATAATAATGAATATTTTCATAATTACAAGTTTTTGTTAATTTATATTAACACACAGTAAATAAAGTAATGGTCAAAGTTTAATGCAGTTTTTTAGAAACAAAAGTAGTAGTTAATTTGGGTTCGCTCGAGTTACACCAAACTATAAAATGGACCTAACAAAGTATGTTACTTCCTCGGTTTCTAAATAAATTGTATGTCTCAATTAGACTAGCACGTTTATTAATTTGAAACTTTGACCAATAATATTTTTAATTATCATTAAGTGTAAATGATAAAAAGTTGAAATTCATAAACAATACATTATTCATGTGAATCTACCAAATTGCCACATGATTACGTTTAATCTTTTGTATGAAGCACTAATTAGATTGCTCAAAGTTGTGTATGTGAATATACAGTGCAAAAGTACATCAAAATGAGACATGTATTTTGGAAGGTAGTAAAAATAAATAAAACAAAGATAGTACTCCTTATAAAAAGTAAATTCTCGGAGCAAGAATGTGAAAAGTGAAAAACTAAGCATCATTTATTTAAGTGAAGGGGAAGGAAAGGAAAAAGTTGGTGTCAAAATAATGGAATAACCAAATTGCCCCAAGAAAAACACAACAACACGAGCTTCCAAACAAAAAAATGAAAAACTATCCCTTTTATCACAATTTAAAATTTTCCAAAAATAAATAAAGCCTCGAAGGAAAAAAAAAATACTATTATAGCAAATTCATTATATATTCTTTAAATAGAATCATAGAAAATTCAGATATTTCGTTTTTTTATTTACATTTGTTACATAACAATAACAATAAAAGGAAAATCATATCATATTATATCATACATTACATGCTTAGCATAAAAATAAAATACGGCACCTGCAAAAAAAAATATGCACAAGAGAAACATTAACCCGATTAAAGCGGCGGCTCAAGGACCGCCTTATGAGGAGCCCATCTATAAAAAGTATTCACAACGATACAGTTATATCATTTTTCTTCCTAATAATATACCCACAACCATGTCAATAATTTATTTTTTCTCACGTCATAAATTTTTTGGCGGGTGGAAAATTTTTATAGTGGCCGTGAAAATGAAAAATCAAATATAAGTTGGTGAGTTATATATGAAATATCTTATAGTTGTTCATGGAACCTTTTTTAGTTTATGTGCATATAGGGCTAGCTAGTACTCCCTCCATTTTTAAATACTTGCGCCATATCTGCATGTGCTGAGTTTTAGGAGAAATTGGAGAAAGTAATAAAATATAAAGGTAGTGGGGTAGGTGGAAAATAAAAAGTTGTAAAAATCAAAAATAGTTGAGAGAATTGGAGGAGAGAGAATATGAAATTAATTAAATATGATTTATGTTGGGTCTACTAGTTGAGAGAAAATGAATTAAATATTGTAAAAACTTTCTAAATAAGGAAATTGAACAAGTATTTAAAAAACGGCCGAAAAAAGGAAAGTGGAGCAAGTATTTAAAAACGGAGGGAGTATAACATTACTAAAATCTGAACCAGACAAAGTTTCAAGCTATTTTCAGTAATCACGTAATTTTCTTACAACAATTGTCTTAGTGTTCCATTCGTAAAACTATGCCTAAGCACTACATGTAGAGTATCAATTCGGGTGTTTGGATCAGGTTCGGCAAGTTTGAGTCGGGTTGGGTCTAATTTCAAACTTGAGTCATGCTAATTTATTGAGTCCATATTATAATTGAAATCTAAATCAAATATTTTTTCTGGTCGATTTCAGACCGGGTCGGTCGGGTCAGTTTTTGACAACTCTAACTACATGTATACAACAATACAAGTGACCAATGCGGTATTGGGCCGAGCTAGAGTGAGGGTTTGTGCCCTAAGACTCTATTCACTTCACTATTTAGTGAAAATAATTTTACTTCAGTAAAATAAGTTTAGCTGTGTAAAATAATTTCAATTCAGTCAAAATAATTTCAGTTCAGTAAAAATCAGTAACTTTAAAGATGAAAATTTAATAAAAGAATTAGTTATAATAATTTCAGTTCAGCAAAAATAATTTTAATTCAGAAACAATAAGGTGAAATAAACAATACAAATCTTTATTATTAATAATGTAGATGTCGTATGGCTATTAATTAGTGATTCTTCATCTGTCAGGGAAAAAAAAAAACAAAAAAATAAAATCATAAACAAAGTAAACAGAGCCTAATAGGTCGCATGTTAAAAACTCAAAACTACCTCCCTTATTTCTAATTTGTAACGCCTTTGCTTCATTCTGCACCAAAAAGGAAAACTATATATATATACAAGCATTACGTTTTGCCAGATCTAACATGCAAACTAAAACAGAAATGTCGTATTCTGGCACTTAAAGCGTGGGGTGATATAGATTTAGGAAAGGAATCTAATGGGTAATCAATCAAAGTTTAAATTGTACTTAATGAGAGCAGTTACAACATTTCAACTACAGGATTTAATGCTACCTTGGCCTAATAAGAAGAGACGTATGTGAACATATTTCTCAATTCATGTTCATGAGTCAAGTTTAGCTAGAGGTTTCCTTTCTTCTGATAAAAATGAGCTGCGAAACTAGCATTTCAGTGACTGACTCGTCTAAACGTATTAGTTAAAGGATGTTACCATTATTAGTGGCAATGCTAATGAAGCCAAAATCTAGGTGCAAGGCGTAGACTTGTGAATGGTCGTCAACATTAATATACATATAAAAAGCTAAAAAAGGATAATAAGAATAAATTAAACATTAATTACACTGATGTAAGCATGATTTTGTCATGAATTCTCAAGTTTATACCATTTTATGAATATTAATTACTCACTCTGTTTAAAATGATCTTCCCATTTTATTTTTATTTTGAAACAGGTTCTTCCCATTTATATATATCAATGCAAATCTTTGAATCTAAATATATTCAATCTCAAAAAGACAAAAATTATAAAAATTAAATTTTAATGTTGTACTAACCAAGAAGAATCAAACTAGACTCATATGACTTTGTTTTTTAATATATAGAGAAAAATTTAAAAGATTTTCTCATATATTTATTAATCAAAAGATTTAAATGGATCATTGTAAACAAAATAAATAAATTAATAAATAAATAAAAGATTTTAAATAGAAAGATTATTGTAAACAAAAGTAGTTATGTTTATATTTCCTTTTTTTTCAAAAATATTGTTACTTCAAATAGTGTGAAGTCATATGAACTTACAATTTTATTTTTTTTGGTGGAGAACTTACAAATTTATTTATTTTGCCCTCGTTTCACATCCTTGATTACATTTTTTTATCTGTATGATATTTGTTTCTGGAAACAGAATTTTCCTCGGAGTGTAAGGGTAGTTTAGGTATCAAGATGTCCAAGGCTCATTGTCCAAATGTATAATAGACTTAAGACATGGACTACACCCAAACAGTATAATCAATTGGTATTCTTCGATTCCTTGATCATTACAATCTTCAATTCAATATGAAAAAGATTAAGAAATTGATAATTAAAAATAATCATCATTAAAAAATTTAACAAAGTTTCACTTAATAATTTACGCTTTCATATTTACATAAAAATAATACTTCGTAATTATTTATGTAAAAGTTGCAAAGTTTGACCTTGTAAATATAAATGGAATAACTCTAAAGATAGAAGTAAAATTTTGTCATATGTCCTTCATTGAATTTTAAAAAAAATATTCTTGTATCTATCTACTAATAACGTTCTACTTCAAACACATTTAACCACATTCAAGTGAGAGAAAGCTAGCGAGAGAAAGCTTTGTTTCCGCCCATGGTTTCCTGATTTTGCTGGTTTCTTGTCACTAAATCAAAAGCTATGGCCCGAAAGAAAAAGCAATCTACTCCTGCTCTTGCTAAAATCACTAATGAAATAGTTGAATCTTTGCTTGCTCCTACTTCGGTAGGGTTTTCACCATTGCATGAAGTTTTTTATGAAGGTGATGAGTTGGTAACTCCTGCTCCTGGTCTTGTGCATCCGTCAGCAGGGAAGGTAACTAGGAGGGACGCTGAACTAGCTCCTAGCTCTCAATTTTGGATCTATTAGCCCCAAATCGACTGCAACAGTTTCTAATCCCCCGATTACTGTTCCATTGGCTACTGGTCAAGCGGTTAGCTCTTCAGCTACACCTATTGTGGTTCCTGGTAATCAAGCTGATTTTCCGCCTCTTTCTAGCTCTAATGTTGCAGATACTGGTGATTTTCGAGGTAGGGTGACTGGGGTACACGCTTTCAATGGTAAACTGAATGCGAAGGGGGTTTCTCTGAGTTATTTCCCTCCTCAGATTAAGGATGGTAAGTCTATTGCTGTATTACCTACTGATGAAATTGAAGAGGGTACTAGGAAGTGGAGTAATGCAGCAGTCTTGTATGTGGTTGAATTTTATCCTACTATTGCTTCTGCTAAGCGTTTTATTGTGAATGAATGGGGAATTGATAATAAACCCGAGGTTTTCTAGCATTATGAGCGATATTTTATTATCAATTTGTGTTCTCAAACTGACTTGAATGCTGTATTGTGTGGGGGTCCTCACATGTTTTATGGAAAGCCGGCTATTGTGAAACCTTGGTCTGACAAAAATTCGATTTCAATGCTGAAATTTTGCGTACTGTACCTCTGTGGATTAAGTTGCCTAATCTTCCTCTCAATTGTTGGGGTCCTGAAACACTAGGTAGGATTGGCAGCACTCTTAGTGTTCCAATTTGTGCTGATGAATGCACAACGAGGCAATTAAGGGTTTCTTTTGCTCGGATGTTGGTTGAAATTGACATTACTAAGCCTCTAGAAAAATCTGTCTAGGTGGAGAGCCCTAAAGTAGAGGTTGTGGAGTTGACTGTGGAGTATGAATGGTCTCCTCCTTATTGCGGGAAGTGCAATAATGTTGGTCATATATGTGAGGAGCCGAAACTTAAACAGAACCAGCCTGCTGCTAAGCCTCAAACCCCGAAGAAAACTTGAGTTCAGAAAGTGAAATAAAGAGGGTTCTAGTTTACCATCAAAGACTAATGGAGGGTGGGAAACTATGAAAAAGAAAGGGAAAGAAGTTGTTGAGAACATGATGCCTGTGCTGATTACAAACAAGTATGATGTGTTATCTGATGAACAAAATGCAGAAGACAATGTTCTTGTGAGGCAGAATATTACTGAACCGAGCGGGGGTGGGCCCCATATACAGCAATGATCCTCACTGTGTGGAATGTTAGGGGTCTTAATGAACCCAGTAAGGTGGCTGATGTCAGGCACCTCCTTCATAGAACTAAATTTGAGTTAATTTGTTTGTTGGAAACTAGAGTTAAACAGCATAAGAGTAGTGGTATACAGAAGAAGATCTCTTATGGCTTAACTTGGGTGTGTAATTATTCTGTTTCTAGAAAAGGAAGAATATGGCTCGGCTGGAAGAGTGATAGGCTCCATGTTGAGTTAATAAGTATTCACACTCAGTTCATTCATTGTCTTGTTAGTTATGTTGATTACAGTAGGCAGATTGATGTTTCCTTTGTCTATGGGTTGCATAATATTCAGGATAAGAAAGAGTTGTGGGGAGGTATAAGGGCTATTGGCCCTGTGTATCTTCCTTGGATTTGCACAGGTGATTTCAATTCTGTGTTGCAAGCTGATGATAGAATTAATGGGAGTGAGGTAACAGATTATGAAGTTAGAGATTTCAAAGAGTTTGTGGAGGCACTAGTAGAAAAAATTAAATAGGCACCCCCCCTATAGCACCGGTTCTTAAAAACCAATGCCAAATAAAACGGGCGGGACCAAAAAAATTAAGAGTTGGCACCGGTTCTAACCAAAACCGGTGCCAAGCATGCAATTAGCACCGGTTCAAACCGGTGGCAACTTGTAAAATTAAAAAAAAAAAAAGATGGGGAAGGAGTTGGCACCGGTTCTCCTTAAACAGGTGGCAATTAAGGTAGTTAGAACCGGTTCAAACCGGTGCCATTTAAAAAAATAAAACGCGGGTTTTGCTGCTTCAACTTGGTTCAACGGCATTCTTTCTTCATTCCTCGTTTTGGCTTCAAAAATTCCCAGACATTTTTGCCCTATTCTCTTCTCCCTCCATCTCCATTGAAAGGCTGTGCGAGCTTTCTCCTCTCCATTGAAGCAGTTAAGCTAAGCGACCTTACTCACATCTTTCATTCAATTCAATTCAATTTTCTGCATTCCCTCTTCCCAAACCCTTCCTCCATTGAAGCTTCCATTGAAGCTTTTGCCTCCTCACGCACGCAGCCTGTCTGGGCTTTGTTCTTCTCCTCACGCACGCACTCAGTTCTTCTCTTCTGCCTCCCTCCATGCATTATTGAAGCAGCTTCGACCTAGGTAAGTAATAACGCTCCTCCATTCACTTAGCTTCTCCATGTATTGCATTAAAACCATTGTTGGGTTTTATGAGGAAGTGGTCTTTAGTTTAATATTTGTAAGTTTCTTGTAATTGCTAGGGTTTGTCAATTGCTACTTAACTACTCCATTAAACGCGCAAGGCTCCCCCTCCATTAAACGCACAAGGCTGCCCCTCCACAAATGTAAGTCCTTTGTAGTTGTTATTGTTGTTGTTTATAAGCTGAGAAATCTATCTAGTACAAGCTGCATTTATCTATAATTCTAAATTGTTATGAGGACTTTATTTATCATCACTAATTGTTATGAGAACTTTATTTATCATCACTAATAAACTTTATCCTAAATTGTCCTTGTTCTTGCTCACTAATATCATTCTTATCTTTTCCCTTAATCTGGTTTTCTATTTGTGTTCTATATAGGCTATAATGAAAAAGATTCAGAGGAATTTTTGGGCGAAGCATTGACCTTGGCATTGACCTTCTAGTTGAGAGTGTTGAGACTTTATAGGTACTCAGGTATATATATAACTTTATATGCTATACATAAGTTCTTGTTTGCACACTTTTGTGGAGATGGTGTATGATATAACTTTAGTGCAACTTCTATCATGATGTGTGATTAATCCATTGTTTTTTAATTGATTGCATGTATCATCATATGCCTAGATACCCGTTCAAGGCTTTCTCATTAGGAGAAAATCTTGAATAGTCCCCGGTTGGGACTGTTCTTGAACGTTTACTCTCACTTAGGCGGTGAATGTATGTCTTTTTTTTTCGATTTTAGGGAACATCTTGGCTTACCATTTCCTCGATCACCATGTTCTCTGGGTACATATGTGGGTAAGTAATTACCTACGTCGTGTACTTGGAGAACTGAAGGGAAATGCTGCCGGATTTTCCTTAAAATTGGAAAGTCGACATACATTCACTAGTGAGAGTAAACGTTCAAAGGATGGGTTAGGTTGGAGTGATAAGGACCCTTTGGAAGCATATATGCATTTTTGTATCTATATGCATGAATGTTATATGCAAGTTGTGTGTTTGAATTTGATTTATATATATAATAGATGTAGCAATTATACATTATTCGTAATATGTTGCCATGTTTAGAGATAATTTACTTAATGGAGAAGGATCGTGGCTGGATGTATGGTAGACGTGATACATTGGAATTATTTGATGGGGTTCAAGAGTTTTGCGAGAGGGCTTTATCTTATCAGCGCAGAATGGGTTTCGATTGCCTCTATTGTCCTTGTGTTGATGTAATAATGTGAAGGTGGTCAATAGTGTTGATATCATTAGAGATCATGTAGTTTGTCGTGGGTTTAGGCTTAAATACCATGTGTGGATTTGGCACGGTGAAGAAGGAGAGTACAGTGGGGATGTTATTGGGAATGATGTGCATGATGATAGAAGAAGTGACATTTGTGTGGACGAGGAATACAAGAATGATGAACAAATTGTTGATGATGGTGCTGAGGATGGATTTGAGGATGATCATGTGGATGAAGTCGAGGATGAAGGGGTGGATGAGATGATGCGTGGTTTTGAAGGTGACGTGTTTGAGTCATTATCGGAGGCTTCTAAAAAGTCTTTGTATCCTGGGTGCAAAAAATACTCTAAACTATCTGCCGTGCTAACACTTTATACCTGTGCCCGTAGAGGAGGATGAGTTTACTACACTTTGGGCGGCAAAAGGTAGTTTTGTGCAATGGCCATGTGCTTGGATACGGTTGATGAACCAGGTAATTAAGATTTAAAGTTCACGCTTTACTTTATACTCGATTTTCATCCCAAGAGTTGGATGAAATTCTTTTCTAACCATTTGTGTGATTTGTCTTATTAGCCATCGAGGAAAAGCCAAACTCCAAAGAAGAGGGTGGAGGGGCCAAAAAGCATTGATCAACCGATGCCAAAGAAGAGGAGTGAACATGGCTCGGTGAGTGGAAAAGCGTTGAACAAGAGCTCTTCACGAGGTTCAGCTATGCAAGCTACTCCACTAGTTGAAGACACGGTGCTTCAATCGCTCTCTAAGGAGTTAACTTAACTGCACAACCGTGTTTGCGTGTTGCCTAGTGACAGCCCCATTCAAGTTCCACTACCTAAGGAAATGTTCCACTACGATGATGATGCAATGGCATGGCTATTCAAAGAAGATGTGAAGGAATTTCTAAGTGGTGCAATGCTTAACATTTCCCTCATTCAAATATGCATCAGGTAATTCAACTAGTACTCAATTTATGTTATTCAGTTTAGTGGTGATTGTCGGTTGGTTTTCGATTAACATTCTATTATCATGCATACAGAGCACTTCAGGAGCACTTATGGGAGCTTGGTTCTCCGTGTCAAATTGGGTGGTTATGCCCTGAGCAGATCTCCACTGCTAGAATCTTAGGCAACCACGCTGACGTGTTGTACTATGTTGCACGGGGTATCAAGGAATCAGTGCGTGCGGGAGACATGTTTATATTTGCCCCATATTATGAGGAGTATGTCAGATTATGCTTGTCAAATTCATTTGTTTTCCCAGTTTATACGCTGTACTTGCCTAATTATTGATTTGTTTGTCTCGTGTGAATGTATGTACGTAGTTATCGTTGGACCCTACTGGTGATTTGTGTTTCCAGTAACACAATCTTCTTCTTTGATTCTGCTCGGTTACCTTAACCAAGAAAGCGCCTCGTGAAGTCCATATTGCAAAAGTAAATATACATAGCTTCAATTCTTGTTATTGATTATCATAACCTAACTCATATATATTAATTATACTAATCAAAGTTGAACTTACTTTTCTATGTAGTGTTATGAAGAAGATAAACTCTCGAGGTCCTACATGGAAATCACCAATGGTGATGCCACATGATATTGTGATTTTCGTAATATACAATGCGTAAGATGTTGCTAATTTGCTATGTATTTTTAATCCATGTACTTTTTTCCTCATACTAGTGCGCACAACAAGATAACGGAGTTTATTGTGGCCTATACGTGATGAGATTTATGTTTGACATAGTGAGTCATTGTACAGACACACAACAGCTTGAAGAGGTATGCCAGTTTGGTTGAAATTGAGTTTCAAAACTCCTTAATTGCTATTTTCTTGTAATTTCAAGCCTTGGCCATCTATAAATAAGTGATAAAGACATGTTATGACTGTTTATTAGTTCACTAGACAAGAAATGTAGGAAATAGGCATCCTAGTAGTCAAAATGGCCTTACTCGGGCCATTTTGGTTGAAATTGCGTTCCAAAACTCCTTAATTGCTATTTTCTTGTAATTTCAAGCCTTGACCATCTATAAATAAGTGATAAAGACATGTTATGACTATTTATGAGTTAACTAGACAAGAAATGTAGGAAATAGGCATCCTAGTAGTCAAAATGGTCTTACTAGGGCCATTTTGGTTGAAATTGCGTTCCAAAACTCCTTAATTGCTATTTTCTTGTAATTTCAAGCCTTGGCCATCTATAAATAAGTTATAAAGACATGTTATGACTATTTATGAGTTCACTAGACAAGAAACGTAGGAAATAGGCATCCTAGTAGTAAAAATGGCCTTACTCGAGCCATTTTGGTTGAAAATGCATTCCAAAACTCCTTAATTGCTATTTTCTTGTAATTTTCAAGCCTTGGAAATCTATAAACAAGTGATAAAAACATGTTATGACTATTTATGAGTTCACTAGACAAGAAATGTAGGAAATAGGCATCCTAGTAGTCAAAATGGTCTTACTCGGGCCATTTTGGTTGAAAATGCATTCTAAAACTCCTTATTTGCTATTTTCTTGTAATTTCAAGCCTTGGCCATCTATAAATAAATAATAAAGACATGTTATGACTGTTTATGAGTTCACTAGACAAGAAATGTAGGAAATAGGCATCCTAGTAGTCAAAATGGCCTTACTCAGGCCATTTTGGTTGAAATGTGTTCTAAAACCCCTTAATTGCTATTTTCTTGTAATTTCAAGCCTTGGCCATCTATAAATAAGTGATAAAGATATGTTATGACTATTTATGAGTTCACTAGATAAGAAATGTAGGAAATAGGCATCCTAGTAGTCAAAATGGCCTTACTCGGGTCATTTTGGTTGAAATTGCGTTCCAAAACTCCTTAATTGCTATTTTTTTGTACTTTCAAGCCTTGGCCATCTATAAATAAGTGATAAAGACATGTTATGACTATTTATGAGTTCACTAGACAAGAAATGTAGGATATAGGCATCCTAGTAGTCAAAATGGCCTTACTCGGGCCATTTTGGTTGAAAATGCGTTCTAAAACCCCTTAATTGCTATTTTCTTGTAATTTCAAGCCTTGGCCATCTATAAATAAGTGATAAAGACATGTTATGCCTATTTATGAGTTCACTCTTACTAACTTACGTTTTGTGTATGTCTTCCAAGTTTTGCAAGGGACAGACGGGAAATCCGTTCACGAGCGAGGAACTCAATGTAATTCGAGACATGTTGGCAGCCTACGTCACATTTAATTTGTAAACATCATTTATTTATATTTTAACTAGCTTAGTGTAATACATTATTACTAATTAATTATGTTTGTTTGTAGTTATGACACATTTTTCTAATTAATATCATATTTTGGGATTGTTATCAATATTTATGTCCTTGTTATTATTTTCAATTATTATTATTATTAATATATTAATAATGCTAATTATTATTAATATTAATATTATATTAATAATAATAATTATTATTATTATTAAAATTAATAATAATAATAATAATAATTATTATTAATTATCGGTATTATGTATATGATCTCATTATTATTTTATTTACTAATATTAATATTAATATATATTATTTTCGGGAAAAAAAAAACAAGTCAAAGGCACCGGTTCAAGCTCAAAACCGGTGCCTATTACATTGAATTTAATAAAAAAAAGAAACTGGCGCCATTGAAGTTGGCACCGGTTAACCGGTGCCAAATAATGCCAAAATTTTGAGGATTTGGCATCCCTCAAATCCCCAATGGTTCAAAACCGGTGCCTCAGGGGGGTTTGAACCGGTGCTAAATTAGCTTTTTCGTCTAGTGAGGATATGAATTTTATGGAGATAAAAAGTAAGAGATCTCATTTTCATGGTCAAATAAAGCTCATGTTGGACCTAGAACTCTTACTAGGATTGATAGAGGGTTGGTTAATTTTGAATGGTTGCTCCAATTTCCTAATGTGGAAGCTGTTTATCTTGCCCCCTCCCTCTCTGATCATACTCCTCTTTTGTATGAGATTTTCCCTCCTTCTCCAGATAAAGGGGAACCTTTTAGATTTTTGAACTGTTTGATCACTCATCCAGATTTTATGAGCTTGGTGCAGGAGGTTTGGAATAATGGGGTTCAGGGTAATCCCATGAATAGAATTTGGAAGAAACTTAAGAATTTGAAATTTCAGCTCAAAGATCTTAATCTTAACTCTTTTAGCAATGTTGATGAGAGAGTTGATTTAGCTCAGAAGGCTTTGCTTGATATTCAAGATCAAATGGCTCTTGGTCTTCATTCCTCTATTATGATGAAGCAGGAAACTACTGCCATTAACCAGCTTAAGTACTGGAGATCTGTTTAGGAGAGCATTTACAGGCAGAAATCTAGAGTTGATTGGGTTAAACTTGGGGATTCTAATACCAAGTATTTTTTCTCCTTGATGAAGCATAGACAATTCAGGAATAGAATTGATACTATCATGATTGATCAGCATGTCCTGTTAAAAGCTCCTGTTGATGTTGAGAAGGAAATTATTGAATTCTACAAGCAGTTGATGGGGTCTAGCTCTTCTGTTCTTGATGCTTTTGATCTTGTTACAATGAGAGCTAGAAGGCAACTTTCTGTGTTGGCTCAGAACCTTTTAATAGCTCCTGTTACAAATTCTGAGATTGATTATGCTATTAAAGGAATTTCTGATGATAAGGCCCCCGGAATTGATGGCTTCAATGCAAAGTTCTTTAAGCACACTTGGGAGGTTGTTAAGTATGACATCTATGAAGCTGTGCATGACTTCTTTGATACTGGGGTGATAAGTTCTCAATGGAATTGCACTACTTTAACTCTTGTTCCTAAAGTGCAAAATCCTTCTTATGTGAGAGACTTTAGGCCAATTGCTTGTTGTACTGTTCTTTATAAGGTTGTTTCCAAAATTCTTACCGCTAGGCTTGCAAAGGTTATTGGGGAAGTTGTTGATGCTGCTTAAGATGGGTTTATTCCCGGGAAGCACATTGGTGATAACATCCTGCTGGCCACTGAGTTAATTAAGGTGTATAACCATAAATTCATTACTCCTAGATGTATGATCAAGGTTGATCTGAAAAAGGCTTATGACTCTATTGAATGGAGTTTTCTTAAGGATGTAATGTGTGAGCTTGGTTTTCCAAATGTGTTTATTGGTTGGATTGTGGAATGCATTACCTCTATTGCTTTCTCTATTTTTATCAATGGCATCCCTACAACTCCTTTGAGTAAAAAAAAAAGAGTTAAGGCAAGGTGATCCTATATCTCCTTTTCTTTTTGCTATAGGAATGGAGTACTTATCTAGATGCTTACATGAGCTTGTTGCTGTGCCTGATTTCAATTTTCATCCAAGATGTGAAAAATTGTCCATTACTCACCTCATGTTTGCTGATGATTCTCCTCATGTTTGCTAGAACTGATGAGACTTTTGTTAAGCTCTTCGTTAATGCTTTCAATAAGTTCTCTAGGGCTTCTGGTTTGGTTGCAAATCTCAATAAGAGTGAGGTATACTTTGGGGGTATCAGTCTAGAGGATCAGGAGATTCTTCTGAGTGTTCTTGGCATGGTTGATGGTTCTCTTCCTTTTAAGTACCTCGGTGTGCCTTTGTATTCGTAGAAACTGACTATTCAGCAATGTAAACCTTTGGTTCATAAGATTACTAATAGAATTGAAAGTTGGGCAGTTAGATTCCTCTCTTATGCTGGTAGATTGCAGCTTATTAAGAGTATGCTTTTTGGGGTTCAAACCTATTGGGCACAGATTTTTGTTTTACCAAAGAAGATTGTGAGGGAGATTGAGAGTAGGTTCAAAGCTTTTCTTTGGACCAGAGCTGCTAACCCCACAAAGAAAGCTCTTGTAGCTTGGAACACCATTTGCTTGCCTAAAACTTGTGGGGGTTGGAATGTTATAGCTTTGCATGATTGGAATACTGTTGTTGTGTGCAAAATCCTTTGGGATATCACTCATAAGGCTTATTCTCTTTGGGTAAAGTGGGTGCATATCTATTACTTCAGGTTTGTGGACTTCTGGACAGCTGATATACCTCAAAAAGGTTCTTGGGTTCTAAGGAAAATAATGAAGTACAGAAGTCTGGTTGATGATATTGGGGGATAGAACTCAGTGATGAGAATTGATAAGGTGCAAGTAAAGAAGATCTATAACAAGCTGAGACAGCTGGTTGCTAAGGTTCCTTGGAGGAGAATTGTTTGTAATAACAATGCTTCTCCAAGGAGTGTTTCATTATGTGGCTTGCAAATTGGAATAGACTTATGACTAAGGATAGAGTTCTTAAATGGAATTCTATGTGTGATCCTATTTGTATTCTCTGTTTGCAAGAGAGGGAAACTGTGCAACACTTGATTTTTCTTTGCAGTTACTCTAGTAGAATATGGGGAGGTTGTTGCATTTGCTTAATTGTCAGAAACCTGTTCAAGGTTTCAGCCAGGAAATAGAGTGGGATGTTGAATTGTCGGAGGTCTAAATCTGCTAGCTGATTGCATTTGATGTGCCTTGCTGAAACTTGTGTATCACATATGGATTCAAAGGAATAATGTTATGTTCAATGGTACTTGTGAACCTGCTGAATCTGTTGTGAGGAATGTTGTGTACAAGGTTGCTTATAGGTGTGTGGAGGCTGACAGAAGGAAGCTTATCATAGCTGCTTAATTAGTTCTGCTTCATGCTGTTTTCAACTGCCTGTTCTACGGCTGTGCTTGCTGTCTATTGCCTGTACATGCTGGCGTTGTGTATTGCTGTCTGGCCTGGTTGTTTGTTGAAGTTGTTGCTGTTCTGTGTTCTATTTTAGCTTGCTGCTGGTGTAGTGTTGCGTTTACAAGGTCTAGTTGTTTTTTTAGAGTTTGCAGGCCTATTCACTGCTGGTTCAGGCTGGTGTGGTGTTCTGGTTGCTGTTGCTGTGTCCTGCCTGTTGTTGCTGTGTTGTAGATGGGCTGCTTGGTTTAAGCTGCTAGGTTTCTGGTTGTTGTTGCTGTTTCTGTTTGATGTTGCTGTCTCCTGTCTGCTGTTGCTGTGTTATGCTGCTGTTTGTTGTTGCAGCTGGTATGCTGGGTACAGGCTGCTGGTCTTTCTGGTTGCTGTTGCTGTTTCTAGCTGCTGCTTTGTTGCCCTGCTGGCTGTGATGTGTTGTTGGCTGCTGCTATCTTTTGCCTCACTGTTGGAGTTTTGTTTTGACTACTGTTGTTGCTGCTTTGCTGCTGCCATCTCGTCTTTGTTGCTGAATTGTTTTTGTTCTGGTTTATTGGCAACTCCTAGGTGTTTGTATTTTGGCCTTTATTTTTTTCTTTTCTTTTTTGATGGCCATTTTCTTTGTGAGGTTTTATGCTAGTCGTTGTCCTGTTCCTTTGGTTTTGGGTAATCCTCCTAGAGGGTAGCTCTTTTCCATTGAGTTTAGAAGAGCCGTGTTTGGGCCAAGGTTCTTTGGAACCCTTCCTAGAAGGTGGCCTTTGGGTCTTGGTCCTTGGATGGTGGTTGTGTGCACGTAGGGGCTCTCGGTGTATTGGAATTTAGGCCTTTGGGCTATTTGTATTCCTGTTTTGCTACTTTGTAGCTTCTTTTGGTAATCATATTCTCTATTTACCAAAAAAAAAAAAAAAAAAAAATTTAAAACTTTTTACTTCTATGGTTGTTGTTTTTTTTTTTGATTCATATGAGCCACTTAGGGCGGGGATGAGAATCGATCCCAGGATCACCTGGAACCGGGAGGAAAGCTCTTACCAACTGAGCTATCCCTCACTCTCTACTTCTATGGTTGTTAATACAAAGACTAAAATATTATCAGCTCCAGAAGAAATTTTCTCAAGATTCCCCACCACTGAGATATGCAGATCACCTATAGGGCAAAAACAGGAGCAGCTAAGAGGATGTTCATACAGAAAAACAGCAAATGCAGAACTTAATGCCCCTTGTCGAAGGCAATCGTTCTCCTCCCAGAGCCAAAATCATATCCCTCTCATGAAGACCCAACGCTTGCTTTCACTGTACGTCCCACGCCAATTTTGTCCATGGCTTTTTTAACCTTCTTCACTTCAGTCAAAATCTGATCCAGCCCAAAATAGATTCAGGATCATTGGAAAATAGGAAAATAGATATGGCCCTGCATATGCCCGATAATGAATCGAATTGTGACAACCAACGACAAATGAATAGATTAGTAGGCAAGGTTACAGGTAAAGCAGAACATGTTAGACTGGAGGGTGTAATAAGTGATGACAATTAGAATAACAATATACGTAGTAGCATTCTGCAGCATACGTAGTAGCATTCTGCAGCAAAGAGAGTACGAGAATTAGGAAAGGGGCATGCATTGAGACAAACCAGAAAATCAACAAATATGAACCCAAACAAAGGAAATTGATTTATTTTTATTTAAAACAAAAGTTAACTTCAAGTAACAACCCATAAAACTTGTTTGGGAATGCAGATCCTGCCCGAGTCCTTGTTCAAGTTCTTTCATGAGTGCATCAAGTCCCTAACCTTACTAGTGTTACACCAAGATATTGTGGAAAAATACCAATCTCTTCAACAGAGAATTAACTAAAAACTGCAAGTACCCGACTTTTAACAGGCTCCCCAAATGCATTCATTATTTCATTGGAAGATTGTGCCTTGTATAAGAAAGTTGATCACCTAGTGGCTGTAAAAGGCCACTGTATAATTTTCATCTTGAAACATAACTATACATATAACCAACACAAGCTTTTTATTTTGATATTATAGCATACAAATAGGGTAATCAGAGTTTGAGATGATGCAAAGCTGAACAAATTTCTCTTATTTAATTCAAGTAAACTTTAGCCTTCAGGGGTAAAAAAAGGGAAAGAAACAAATGAGTAAACCTAAAGAGAATCTAAAGCACAAAAATGAATTAAGAAATCTAATACCCCGGCATAATTAAGAGAAACAGCTAACAAGTTATTAACCAAAGTAGCGCATATCAGAAAGAACTTAACCAAAAGAGCAGTACCAATCAGAACGCCTTAACTAAAACCCAATGAGAAGATATTAACCAAAGCCATGCTGATCAGAACGACTGATAAAGTTAGGCTCAAATCAAATTTGAGAGTGTTAAGCGCAAAATGTTCAATCAAAAACATTGCAGACTCTGAAGTTACTCAATAAAACAGAAATTGTTAGATGTGAAAGATCTAAAGCCAGGTTAGAGTCCATGCCGAAGTAAAATACTGAAACATTCTTTTGGATGCCACCTTACCCACTGCAGCAGATACACAGATATTCATAGTCTTCTGAACAAAAATATTCATAGAATTTATATACTAATACATCTGTTATAAGTGATTGTTGAAGATAATGCTGCCAAGTCTAGTTGGTTACCATAAGAGACTGTGTCCTCATTTATCTAGTAGGTACAATACTATATTTTGTTGTCAAGACTAGTATATAATACATAGCCTGCACCTTGTAACATTAAGCTAATCATGGGAGCAGCCAAAAGCTACCTTTGTTATGATCTCAGCTCTTTTCTAAGAGAAGTTTGGTAGGAGACCTCTTCTCTTATTGAGCTCCGCTGGTATGGTTGTGTCCCTATAATTTTTGGGCCTTGGGTCCATGTTTCATGACCATTCAGCCCATATGCTCAGTTGGGCTTTTGTTATGAGCGTGATCGCGGTATGTGCTGAAGTGTTTTTTTTGGGATGAGTTTGGCGGTCTCTGTAAATAGTTTAGTCAGTGGGAATATGGCGATGACATTTCTGAATATTACAACAAAGATTAGGGTAATGTTCTTTGAATTAGGCGGAATAATGGTGTTGGGGAAAGTGTTTTTCTTTTATGTTATGCCGGGATGTAAAAGGAAAAGCTTGGAGGATAAAGGTCAACAGTTTGAGGATAGGAAAATTAGTGATAAAGGAAGAGAATTAAATTACGAAGAACAAATAATAAGTATCTGACCAATCGAGCTAAACCTATATCAATTGTAAATCTAATTTGATAAATTTGGTCTCATAAATCTTTGATTTTCTACAAAATTCGAGCTAAACCCAAATCATTAAGACCCCTAGTTTGAAAGATCTAGATAATTTATCGGAACTTTCGTCAAAAGCCCCCTTTTAAAATAGGGTTTTGTCAAAAACCACCTTTTAATATATCTTTTTTAATTTCATAAGAAGCCACCTATTTTTTTTTTTTTGTGAATTAGCACCTTATGTCGAATTCCGACACTACTACATTTTTGACCAAATGCAACGGCATAATAAAGGCGAATGCAACGGTATTTTAATTGCCGTTGCAATAGAGTAGGCTATTGCCACGGATTTAACACTAATGTTCTTAGAGGTAGAGTTATTGCCACGCTCTAAAGAACCGTTGCATTAGCCTAGCTATTTTAACAAAAAAAGGGGCTATTGCCATGGTAGTGTATTATATGATGAAAAATTTGAAAACGCGCGGAGTACTTCCCTCTATTTTTTTTCCCCAAAATTTTTGAGCATATTCCCCAATTTTCACTCTGTACTTCCCATTTTCTCCATTTTCGCCAATTCTCCATTTTCTCACATTCTCATATATTCCCCAATTCTCCTAATTTACTTCCATTTTCCCCAATTCCGTCACAGAGGAAGAAAGCAAACAAGACAATGTTTTCATCGTCAATGTTTTCGCTCCTTTTTCACCGTCAATGTTTTCGCTCTCCATAGCCCAGCTTCCTCGAGTACTCGGAGCTGCTGTCTACGGTTGATGGAGTTGTTGCTGCTACCGGAGATTTAAACCAAAGAAAAGAGGAGAGAGAAATTTGCAAATCCAGTAACAATGTATCCCAAATTCACTGAGATTTCCCAAAGCTTCGAACGTTTCAAAGCTACTTATGTTCGCAATGATTTCGACACTTCCACTCGTCTCCTTTCTCAGCTTAAGGTTTATTTCCTCTCCAATTCAAACCCTAGATCCTTAATTTTCTTCATTGTTTGTGAATTCATACAATTACTATGTTTAATTCAATTGACGAGATTTTGTGGAAATTTTGCTCAAATTGCTACTTGTTTGCTCCATTTTTTCGTGTTTCTAGGGTTTTATTATGTTTTTATGCGACATTAATGGTAGATTTTGGGTTGATTTTGCTGTAAGTGATGGTTTGTAGATTGAAATTAGTTGGAGTAAATCCGAGTGTTTTGGGTGGTTATGGGAACCAAGGTGGATTGCAGAGCGCGTATCCAAATTAGCAGCTGGGGCAAGGAGGGCTGGTGGGCGGTTGCAGCATGGCCATATGGGTGGTGTTGCACCGTATGGCAGCCATTGGGTTACTCTTAAATAGTCACAGGTATACCATCTCCTTTAAACTTTAAACTTCTAGTTTCTATGAGATCCTGAAATCTTGAATTATTCTTGGGTTTTGCATTCAATTACGTGATGTCAAGATTTATTTTGAATAGTTTTAGCACTCTAGGTAGCCAATTGCTTGTGAATTTTAACTCAGAGTAGTATTCATCAGTTTCATTGGTATTTGATACATTTCAATTTATCCTCATGTTTTTGCATTATATTTTGCTGTGATCATAATTAACATTGAGTTAGCCCTTGTTAGGCATACCTCTGTTCCCCAAACTTTATGGAGTGTAGTTTGTGTACCCTTATGCAGCATTGTTTGTCTACATCTTTTTGAACAATCATTGTTGTTGTTTGCTTCTGTTTGAAGGTGTTATGGCATATCTGTGTAGTGTCTGTATTCTTTAGTTTGAAGTAGTTGGTTTAATAGCAAATTCAGCAATCAAACAGCTCATACACCGACCTCTTCGGCGACCCAATCTACGATTTAACCCCTTTATGGTTCAAGAACGACCTCTTTCTCCCTCCTTTTGACTCCGAATCCTACATCTCTAATCTCCAAACCCAGTCCTCTCTCGCTGCACTCAATTAATCTCAAGTTACTAGTATGTATTTTGAAATAATTAAATTTATTCTAGTATAATTTGTTGAAAATGGCTCTATTTAATTTTTAAATGCTATAATTTCTCAGAAATTGTGCTACTATTTGTTTAATTAGGGTTTTCGTAAGTAATTGCTTCAGTAATTCTGATGTCATCAATTTTGTTAAATTAATTTTGCATTTTTGCTGGTTTTATTAAGAGAAAGAGAACGATTAAGGTGAGCAATCTTTTTAATACTCTTCCTGATCTACAGTCTTACTGTAGTACTACATTTTTTTTTATCTTATTTATGGTTTCCTTGCGTTTTTGTTTAAATTTTTGTGTTTTCATTTTTCCTGATTCTGCTCTTTTTTTTTCATTCTTTACTATTCAATTGATCTAAATGTATTGGCTGACGAGATCATTGAATTGTTTGTGAGCTAATTGCAGCCCACCATCCCATTATTGAGTCTTCAGAAGCAGGTGCATGAGCAGTTGGTATGCTGGAACCTATAGGTTCTACTTTTTGGCTAATACCTTGTAGTTTTCTTCGTAGTATCCTTTTAACTTTAGTTGTTTAGTGTATGTTTGGCTTTAGGCTATACTAGTTATGTGGCTTTCTTTTTGGTGAATGTTTTATTTCACAGCATGCATATTCTCTTATGATTACCGATCTTCCACTGCTCTCCTTCTTAATACTTCCCTCTTTCAAGAAAAAAAAATGAAATAGAGGGTCGTAATTGCTTGAAAACAAAACCCGATTTCCTCGGCTTTTTGTAATTCCTCTTTTTTTCACCCTTTCATTTGGATAATGAAGAGCCAATGATAGATTGATAGTAGTCT